CCCTGCGGCAGGTAGCGGTTAACGGGTATTCGGTTGCAACGGTGCGGTCGGGGGAAGTCAGCGAGGGTTGTCTCGCCAGGGTGATCGACATGGGGAGGTTACAGCGCCGTCAGCATGAGGCTGCCGGGGACCATGTGCAGGACACATTTTGGGTCCGCTACCCTGTCTATCGGTACCTGGTTGTCGGTCAGAAGGTCGACAACAAGAGGGTCATGATGCTCCGTTGCACGTTTTGCAACAAAGTTTTCCAAGGGACCCAGTTTCAGGCCACGAGGCACTTCTCGCAGACAAACTACTGCAAGGACGTCAGCGACGAGGCGTTGTACGAGATTGCTCGATGGACTCAGCAGAAGTTTGAGGCCGATCAGATGGAGAGGGTGTCGAGGTATGCAGCAGAGCGCGGACTCGATGTGCCCGGCACGGGTGGTGCAAGGGGAGGAGAGGAGGGGCGGCGTCCGGCGGAGGGAGGGGTCGGGGGAGATGGTGGGCATGGTGTGGCAGACCCCACTTTGGGTGGTGGAGGCGGTGAGACAGAGGAGGGCGTGATCCACGTGGATCGCGAGGCGCGTGGCCCGGGTGACGAGGGAGTCCCGGAACGGGAGGACGTGCCTGAGGTTTATCCAGGCACTGGGGAGAGGTTGGAGGACTGGCGGAGGCGAGCAGGCAAGGGAGCTGCAACGGAGGGGTCTTCCAAGAGGAAGGAAGGAGGGAGTGATCCGGCTGCCACCCCAGCAGGGAAGAGGCTTCGGCAGCAGAAGGTGAGTGATGTCTACGGTAGCGAGTGGGTTGCCCGCCACAAGAAGGCATTCCTCCGCTGGTTGTATTCCATCGGGGTCTCCTTCAATGCCTTCCACAACCAGGCGTGGAAGGCATATCAGCAGGTGTTTCTTGAGCAGCCTGGCAGTTCCCCGCGCGCAGTGCTCCCCAACCACTGCGAGATTGCGAGTATGCGGGCGGTGGAGACCCACCGTGCGGAGTTGGCGGAGGAGTTGGAGGAGGTGAGGCAGCCATTCTGGGTGACTGGTGCCACCCTCCTCTCCGATGGGAGGAAATCACGAGACGGGAGACCGATCGTGAATTTCCTTGCTGCTGGCTCTCGAGGGGTCGTCGTGTACACGACGATCAATCGAGAGGGCGAGCTGGACGATGCATTGCACGTCCTTCATAGATGGGTTACCATCTTCCACGAGTTCAGCTTTGGCGGGCCGCATCGGATCAATGCGATATGCACTGACTCCGCTTCTGCCTATGTGGGGGCTGCGAGGGCATTGACCTCGTCGTCCATGCCTCCTACACTGGGGAGGATCACTTGACTCCCGTGCTCCATCCGTGTCAGCAACAAATTGTTGTCAGACATGGGGACGAGTTGCGACGCGTTTGTGGACGCGATCACACGCGCTCGTGTGCTGGTGGTGTTTTTCAAAACCCACCAGGCCGCCCTTCATTTTTTTAGGACGTGCAGCCCCGAGAAGGGGCTTATTCTTTCTTGCGAGACGCGGTTCGCGTCTGTTTACTCCATGCTGGAGAGGCTGTTGGCCCTGCAGGACATGATGCGAGGGGACGACGCGCGAGCTTTTGCTTCCATCCCATGGTCCACCGATGTGTGCGTCATGGCGCGGTAGGTGCGCCGACAGATCAAATGGGATCCATGGTGGCAGAGGGTGGCCACCATCGTCCATATCATGCAGCCCGTCATGGAGTTGCTCAGGAGGATGGATCGTGGAGGACACATGATCCAGTGGACGCAGGATCTTGTCCGCCGTGTCACGGTCGCATGCGCCCCTTTGGGGACGTCGTTCGTCAAACGGATCATCGGGCGTGTGCAGGCTCGCATACAGCACATGCTTGAGCCGGCTCACTGCGCAGGGTTCTTACTGAACCCCCGCAGGCGACACGTTTGGTACTTTTCGGAGCAGGTGGAGAGGTACGATGCTTGGCTTGTGGGGCAAGCCAAGAGGTACATTTTGACGCAGACGAGATTCGAGTTGGAGGGTGCGGAGTACATCCTTGCATGTCGGCAGTTTGAGGACTTCCACATTCAGCAGGGGAGGTTCGAGGATTGGGGCGGTCCGGAGGAGCGTGCTCGTGGGCGCGCGTGCAGCGGCGACAGCGAGACGATTGAGTGCGCGTCTTGGTGGTCTCAGTTCGGGTCGGGCGCGCCATAGTTGCAGCGTTGCGCTCTTCGAGTGATGCACATGTGGTCTTGCGCTTCTCCAATGGAAAGGAACTGGGCAGTCCACGAGGGCATTCACACGAAGAAGCGCAACCAGTTGGCCTTCGAGAAGGTCGTGCAACTCGTTGAGATCACCGCAAATGTGCGGTTGACTGAGTATCGGCGGGATGGATGCGGTTATGTGCTGCCATGGCAGCGGGACGAGGGCATGTTGGATTGCCAGGCAGGACTCGAGTTGGAGCCTGTGCGCACGGGAACTCGCGGGGGGATGACGGACGAGGAGATTGCCCGTCAGGTTGCACTTATTACCCGGGATCCCATCGGGGCATCCGCACCACCCTCGGCTGATGCCGTTTTCGATAGACGTGCTTGCATTTTTCGTCCCTACCCCAGGGACGACGACTCAGACGAGGAGCCGATACCCGAGGCAGCAGATGACCCTGCGCTCCGCATTCCCCGGGAGATCGACGAGACACACGAGGATCCCGGCTCCGAGGACACGAGGACACAGATTGCACGACGGGCGGCGGACCGGGCGGAGAGCGAGATGCTGGGGGGAGACGAGGACTTTTGGGGCCCATTCGGTGAGGTCGCTTCCACGGGCGGCCCAGAGGCGCAGGCGACGACCCCCACTCCGACGAGGCGGGATTCGTCCATGCCGCCACCTCCTGCTCCGAGTCCTACACGACGATCGCCCGTCTCGCCACTTCAGCCGGACAGGGAGGAGTTGGGGTCCTCTTTGCCTCAGCGAGGCCTTCTCCACAGAGGCGGGGCAGTCCGCCAGCTTAGGTTATGATCACCTTCCCCGGGGATAGGGCAGGAGGAGGGGGGACCTTCGGCAGCAGCAGTGGAGAGTTCGATGGCACCAGCGGTTGTGTCGGACGCGACGATTGCGGCCGCGGTGGAGGAGATAGCAGCAGCATCAGTGCTAGAGGAGATGGCAGCATCAGTGCTGGCGGAGGATTCACCAGCGGCAGGAGGAGGTGCAGCAGTGGAGGGGCAGGTGGCAGCAGCAGGAGGAGCAGGTTGAGGAGCAGCAGCAGTGGAGGTTGAGGTGGCAGCAGCACTGGAGGAGGAGGACACACCGTCGGCAGCTGCAGTGGAGGAGGAGATAGCCGCACAGGCCGAGGTGCAGCGTGGGGGCGATGACAAGCGCCTCATGCAGCAGTTCCTCACGGAGGAGCTCGGTCCGGCCATAGCGGGTATGACCCTGGGAGTGGAGAGGGGGGTTGGGATTTCAGATTTGGAGATGGGGACCCACGTAGACTTGGATTTGTCAGTGGGCCTTCCACCCAGTTGCGGCGGGGCGACATCGACGGATCGGGCTCCATCAAGGGACGAGGCGCCAGGCAGGACTTCGACGCAGACCGCCAGAGAGAGGACGACGACTCAGTCTCCAGATGCAGCACACGACATCATGGAGCGAGAGAGGGCTAGACTTTTGGCATCGACTGACCCTCGTGCTCAGGCCTTCGCACGGGCCGTAGAGGACGCCAGGCGTCTAGAGATAGGAGGGGATTGTGTGCAGGGTGGGGTGGTGGCGGGGGAGGACGTTGCGGAGGGAGTGGCAGCAAAGCCGGTACCCGAGGCTATGCCAGGTGGAGCAGAGACAACGGACGTTGCTGTGGAGGGACGGACTCAAGCGGTGGATGAGGCAGTGCAGGCAGGACAGCGACGAGTCGAGGGGGCTATAGACTCACGATGCGAGGGGCAATCGACAGCGACGGGTCCAGTCATTCCGTTCTCGGGCCTGCACTTGGCTCAGGCCCGACAGCCGCAAGCGGTTCAGATGGCAGTGCATGGTGTGCCACCGCCCGTTATCACAGATTTGGGGTCCGAGCCGGTGGTTGTGCCCCCACGTCTTCGTAGCCACTTTGCTCCGCAGGAGGTCCGTCGTCCTTTGGATGCAGAGGAGTTGGCGAGAGAGGCTGTGCGCGATGTTACTCGCTTGGACCGGCGGATCTTTGACCGGAAGCTCGAGCACCCACCGTGGCAGTCGATCCCTTCGGTTCCATGGGGTCCTGCGTCGCCCGTGTGGTCTGGGTCTACCTCCACTGGAGGACATACCGCGGGACATATTCCAGGGGTTTCGGATGGCGTGACGGAGACAGCGCCACGCACAGGAGACACGCCACCCCCTCCTCCTAGAGCACCTGCAGGTGATCCATCATCGTCACCCACAGGCAGAGGCTCTCGATCCCCACACACGCCTGGGAAATCTAGGATTCGTGACACGACATCAGTTCACCAGGACGTGTGTGACACGACGATATTCGGGAGGACAGATATATATTTGGATTCCACCCGCCGCCTTCAGCCGGGCTTGGGAGGAGGAGGCGCTAGGACGACCACGGCGAGGGAGGTAAGGGCATTAGGTTGTGAGCCTCAGCGAGGTTGTGGCAGAGGAGTGTCGACCGATACCTTGGAGTACGCTCTGAGAGCAGCGACGCGTGCCGTGCAGGAGCAGACTCCACGCAAGCGTGGAGTACCTCCCCGTCCACGCCCCGTGCCTGCAGAGGGAGGCGCAACACTTGCAGAGAGTTCGGGGGCGGAGGGGTTGGGGATGCCTCGTGGTTCCCGACGTGAGCAAACGATTGCAGAGGCTAGTGCGAGGGTTGTTGTGTTGAGGAAGGGAGGAGGCCCAGTCACCATCGAGGAGGATGATCCTGATACGGATGCGGCTGTGCGAAATGCGGACGAGGACTACGAGGGCGAGAAGGAGGGAGAGGAGGATAGCAGGAGCGGTTCCGATGGTGACGACGACGACGACTACGATGAGCCCCCACCTTCCCCAGGACCCTCACCGACGTGTGCATCTAGACGCTCCGCTGCACGGACTTCTTCATCCTCACGAGGGAGGAAGAGGTCGACATCCGGCACTCGAGGGGACACGAGGAGACACAGCGGGAAGGGGAAGAAGGGTCGTTGACCGATGAGGCCAACACTCCGCTTCTCCCCTACTCGCACTGTACGTCGTCATGTGTGATATTAGTGTCAGCCTATGAGGTACTTCACATCGTTCACGACTTTTCATGTATATTACATTTTCTGTTACGAGTGATGCACTTTGCCTGCCCATTTTATTTTCGGTGTGTGATTTTATATCTTTAACTGTTGTTCTCATTTTCAATTTCATTTCTTGCATTTTTTTCTTTTAATTTATTTATGGTTTCGAGAGTTCGGTACTTGTTTTTTTTTCTATCTTATTTGTTGATTCTATTTGCATTGAATAGAACACTAACTGATGTTTCGGGGGGTG